CAGGGAATCTGTTCTGTGGTTAGTAATTTTTCCCTAGTTTTGGTTTCTGGTATACAGTCTATAATCTGCATTTTTCAAGAGATGCAAAGTGAAGCTTTTGAAATTCATGGAAATGTAATCAGCCAATCAAGTATCTTTCTCTCTAGAAAAGTAGCTTTATAAGCCTGCAAATTTGACTCTGATTATAAACTCTGTCTCCTGCCCTCAGATCTCATAAATGCAGAAGGTTTTTGCACCTGAGATATCTCAAATTATTACCACTCAGCATTTAGAGTATGTCACCTCTTTTAATGAAGTCCAGTCAATGGGAGGCATATGTCAGTCTTCCATGATGTCATAGTGCTCCTATCAATATGACCATATATTTGCCTGTGTTCCTATCAATATGACCATATATTCTATGATGTGTCTCCATTTCCTTGCCATCTTCCAAGACAGTAAGATCATCTTGAAGGTAACTTAGTGCCTTTTAAATTATTCACATTTTTTTGGTCTTAATACAGGGCTTCACATTTTGTAGTTGCTAAAAATGCCATTGTTTGTTGACTGGATAATTCATGCAGCCTCTTGCTCACCTCAGTGACATCTGTTTAGTATCTACTGAATTGTTAACTAGTTTTCAAGGATGTTTTGGTTCTTAAACTATTTATAAAGCCCATGAAGTCACTGACAATGTTAAACAACTTTATTTCCCTTAATACTCTGTGCAGAGCCAGGTAGATATAAAGATTCATTTAGCTGATAATTGAAATAGCTTCCCTTTTTAAAAAGAAAATGAGTGCACGGAATTCACAATAATTCTAGTTGGGTTCTTTGGGTAGGTCATGTGACTTTGCAGCATCACACATCCTCACTGATATTCACTTATTAGATGTTGTCAAACTACCCCAGTCTTAGGGCCATGTTTATTTTAAGCTATACCATTCTGTACTTTATGGCTTACTGGAGAGGGAGATTCAATAAGTCTTGAACAATGATCATGGATTGCCTGTTTCCCACTAAGTGAACTTTCATATTGTACCCTGGCCTGTCAGGCCATACTGCCCATTCCCATGCCCCACTGATGCCACCTCCGGCCATAGAAATACAGTATAAAGAAAGCGTGGTAATCAGCCAACAGCTGGTGAGCTAACTGCGGTCTTTATTGGGAAGCTCCTTTCCTCAGAGTTCCCTGCACTTTACATTGGATTCTGCTTTTGAAATTCATGCATTAAGAGAAAGGAATGGACACAGGGGTGGACAATGGTTACTGCTTCCTTCCAGGCAGCTGCTTCGTGTTTAAGCCATGAGAATAAAATACCATTAATCAGTAATATAGGGGTACACAGGGTCTAAGAGTTTGGGGTAGATAAAGTCTACCTCTTACTGGATGCCTATGTGACCACTTTTGTATAACTCTTGCTGCAATAGTTTGTCGTTTTATCTCTCTCATTCAGAAAACAAGGAAACCGATTCAACATGGGTAAATACTGGGCATGAAGTCACACAGCCAGGACATGGTAGATTGGAATCTGCCTCAAAAAATGAATTCATTCATGCTTTTCCACTCCATTGTGCAATTCTCTGCCCTGGTAATAATCCTCCATCTTTATTTAAACAACAGTGTGATTTTAGTGCACGTCCCCAGGAGTGCCTTAGGCTATCTCTAACACTTTAGGCCACCAGAGTACTATTTAATGCAATGAAGCAGATATCTTTTCATACACATAATTTATTTGTAGCAAAGTTTTCCACTAGAGCACCCAAAATGAATTGGGCTAGTGTATTATTTTATACTAATGAGGTGGTTGGAACTTGGCATATTTAGTTTATGAAATTTCAGACTCCCATTTAAACCTTTGTTTGATAGTAGATTTCAAGTAAAATGTAACCTAATTAATTTTTCCTCATTTACACTCTTGTTCATTTATACACTCTCATTCATTTTACACATGAAGGGCATTTTGTTGAATTATTTAATGCCCACTCTCTGTGATCTTCTCTTAAAGATGATTTCAAGTCCCTTTTAGTGGAAGCAGAATGTTTTGACTTTATGATCTAGTCATATATTGGTTGATGCTGCAACAATACCTGGGTTGAGGATTTAGTTCAAATGTCAGTGTTAGTGTTCTTGCTTAGCATGAACTTCTAGTTTCGAGCCTTGGTGCTATAAAACAGTGAACAGCACCAGCGTTAGTTTTCCATCACTGTGATGTCTAACTTGGCATAAGCAACCTCTAAGGAGGGAAGATTTGTTTGGCTCATATTTTTGGAGTGTTCTGCCCATGGTTGCTTAGCCTAGTTACTGTGAGGTCTGGAGTGAATAGGCACACCACTGCAGACATGAGTGGCAGAAGAAGCTGCCAACTTCATGGTGGCCAAGAAATGAAGAAAGAGAGAGGAGGAGGTACTCTGATTCCAGTTCAAAGGCACACCCTCTGTGAACTTACTTCTGGTGGGCCCCACCTATTAAAGTGGCATTATTTCTCAATAGTGCCACAAGCTGGTGATCAAACCTGTAGCACATGACTTTTGGGGGATATATAAAATCAAAATTATAACAACATCTAAGACTAGGCTGTTTATAGTGAGTAGAAATGTTTTTGTGCTTGGTTCTGGAGTTTGGCGTCTGTACTGGTGAGTGCCCTCTTGCCATTTCATTCTGTGGTGGAAGATAACAGGTTAAAGAGGACAAGAGGGGAGAGCCAGAAGTTTTATTTTATTTTTGACAGCAAACCCACTCGTAATACTTGACTTCCTCCTGTGATACTGTCTCTAATCACCTTTCATTAGGACCTGTCTCCCAACATTGTTGCACTTGAGATCAAGTTTTCCTTATATGAACATTGGGAAATATTTAAGTCACAGTAGATGCCAAGTATAAATGAACTTACAGCACAGACAATCCCATCTTTAGGGTGAAGTCTTCCATTTAGGAAGCTGAAGTCAGCTTCCAACCTTGGCAAATGCAATCTTTAACCTCTAATGCGGCTTCATATTGAAGCAATCCAGAGGGATAACAGGGCTCTAATGGAAATTGTCAACAAAATTGAAAAGAAGAAAAGAAGCCACATTTTAACATCCAGAACTTGAGAGGTCGCTAAGTACAAACAACACAGGCATAAAACTCCAGAAGGCTTCAAACGGCTTTAATCTGCTGGTGAATCTGTCCTTTGATAGAATGTAAAAATCTAAGCTGAAAAATGTGTGCCATGGGGTTTCAGTACACTAATTCCAAGATTGATTTTGCAACAGAACCTGAGCAGCATTCAAAACAGGCAACAGCAAGAAAGGGAGCAGGAGACAAGAAAGGGAGATGAGGTGAGAGAGCACACGGGAAAGGAGGATTAAGATTGATGATGAGGAGGATGGTGAGGTGGGAAAGGGTGAGCCTTCTGTTTAGAGACTGAAGACTCAGGTTGAATCCTGGTATTAACATTTTATAAGGCTATGCAGATCCCTTGAACCAATTTGAAATTGTTTCCTTGTATGTATAATGGGAGGAAGGATTCTAAACTTCTGCTACAGGACTAATTGAAGTGGTTCCTGTAGGCAATATAAACATAGAAATTGCAACCCATCTTCTGCTTGCAGCTCTTCTCTGACTGCTCCCATCCCTGACCTTCCTTCTCCATGTTGATCTTCTGATCGCAGACAGTGTTCCGAAGTGAACTCTACTTCCATTTCTAAATCATATCCCTTCCTATTGTCTTCTATTGTTTATTTCTGCCTCTATTTATTTAATCGGTTATTTATTTTGACATTCTTTTCAGGACACTTAAACATCCCTTGACTCTCAAGTTGGGGTCTAACTACAATTATCTTTAGGTGTAAGGACAAATACTTATAATGTAGTTGGGGATTATGCTGTTTTAGTAAGTGGTGGTTGTAGGTTCCATGAATTCAGTAGCCCTGGGATAGTTGGTTATAGTCTTACCCAGCTTTGACTCCTGTGAGCCACAATTATCAGCTTGGCATGGTAACTCTATGGTTGTAGTAGTGGCATGCATACCTTGGCAGTAACCAAGAGTTCTCTAAATGATGGAAAGGCCTGGTCAACAAGAGGCACATCATGCCTTGTACTGTTTTATAAGGGCTCAGAGTTAAGAGTTTGTCTTCAGTCTCTAAAGAGACTTCAAGCTTTGTACTTTTGATTATGTTAAGAGCTGTTAAGATTATGGTGACTTTTAAATTTGGACATAATGGATTTTGCATTATTAAATGGCTGTGAGCAGATATGCCAGGAGTAGAATATTATAATTCAGATGTAAACTATTCCTCTCAGATTCATGCTGTTTTGGGAGATATAGAACCTGTGGGAGGTGAGGCACCACAGGAAGAAGTCACTTATTTGGCAGGCCTTGAATTTTAATGTTTCCTTCTGCTTCTTATTCAATCTCTGCTTCTCAACCTGCCCAGATGTGAGCAAGCAGCTTCACATTCTTGCTGCCTCAGCAAGGAGCTTTCCTTATAACCATGTATGTCTTACCACTGTGGGCTCTACCCTCAAACTGTGAACCAAACTATACACTTCCTTCTTAGTTACTTCTTGTCATCTGTATTGTCACAGTAAGCAAGAAAGTTTAAAACAGAATATGACTTTCCCCTTCAAATTTAACTTTCTTAACTTAGTAAATGACCATTTACTTATATCTGAAACTACAGTATTATCCAGCCACCTTTTTCTGGCATTACATTTAACATAAACTCTTACTAATTCATCTTTTAAAAACTCTTGAGTTTACTCACTTACTTAGGCTACTGATGTTCAGCTTATCAGGGACACTGCCATTTCTCATCCAAATAATGGCTCTGATTTCTGATTTTTTTCCCCAATTCTTATTCTCATGCCTGTGCTCCTCCTGATAATTAAAGGGACATCTCAAAATGCAAAGTGTCATGCCAGCCCCCAGCTTGGAATCTTCCATTTGGACATCCAATGGCATTTAGTATATATGTGTGCTAAACTTTGGTGTTGTGACAATATATCTGACATAAAGAACTTGGAGGGAAACATGATATATGTTTTGGCTTATAATTTTCACTTGTTGGTTGACTCCATTGCGACGAGAGTGTGGTGAAATAGGACATCATCACAGTGGGAGCGTGTGACAGAAGAAGCTGCTCATCATATAAAATCTGGGAAGGAAGGGGACAGGAGACAAGTTATATCCTTTAAAGATCTACTTCTCCAACCTGGCCTTGTTTCCTAGTTTTCATCACCTCCCAATAGTGGAATCAGATTATGATTCCAGCAATGGAGTAATCCATTAATTAGATCAAGCAACCTCATGATCCATTTGCTTTTCAATAGGACTACCAGCTTGGGACCAATCCATTAGCATATTTTATACCTAAACCACAACAGTATAATATCTAACATTTCTCTCACAGTCTGTGTGTAACTATACGATATGACCGAACTCACCTCACTCATCACTGACACTTTCACTTGCTGTCATTTGATTGTGCCATGGTGTCCTGGAGTTGATTATTTCTTTTTGCTACCAAGACCTGGTTGCTACAGAGAATTCAGAACTACAATGACAGAAAAACAGGAATTCTTTGGATGATAGTAATCTGAACTGTTGTAGAGAATATTATTTTATGTGAGTCTCACAGGAGTTTTGGGAGGAATGAACATTTAACAAATGTGGACAAATAATGTTTTCAAGGGCTTTTGTTCATTTGTGCTAGGGTAGCAGAGCTGACAGGGAGATTAGATTTTATCTAATTCAACTTCTTCCTTTGGGGAAGAGGAGACAGTGGTTGGGGGAAGTAAAATGACTTGGGAACTTGCTGGTTTACATGCAATATAAATAGCTTTTTAAAATAGTTCTGAGTGGGTGAACCAACTTCACTTTTCTTATGCTAATGTGGTCTTTTCCTCTGCAAGTGCTCCCTTGCTTTATGATTTTTTTTGGGTGGGGTAGCTATCATTTGTATGTTTATCCTAGTTTAAGGAAGATTACTGTAAAAAAAAATCCACCAATTGAATTTTTCTTTTCAGTAAGAAATTTTAGGTGTAGTAGCAGGCAGATGGAGGTAAGTGTCCAGAGACTCCACTTCTTGTACCTGAAAATCCAATTAAACAGAGGGTATCAAGAGAGGAAAGAAGGGACCAGGAAAAAGGGCACATCTGCCTTTGATTCTTATTTTTGCATGTGTTCTTACTGAATGTGAGTGCAGAGACTCAGGACAGCCCTTCTCCAAGTCTCAGTTTCCACAGTGATGTCGTCTCAGAGTTCTGAGAGATGAATTTGATGTCACTAAGCATTCTGCAGACACTCACTTGCATTTTTGCTTGTTTTGTTCTTTTGTCTCCTTGGTAAAAAATCTCTGATTTCATTGCCTCCCCATAATAGAAGCATTTGAAGGGCATGGACATACGTGTATACACACACAGACACAGACAGACACAGACATAGACACAGACACAGACACAGACACAGACACACACACACACACACACACACACACACACACACACACAGGTATTGAAAGACATTCATAATATCAGCGTGGTGTGAGCAAGAACCATCTTTGCTGTTTTTTATATGAGACTCTCTCCAGGCACCATTTGATTCATTTACATCTATTTTGAGGGGCACTGATTGAAGTGCTAAGCATTTTTCCAGGCTCTGACTGTCTAACAGTTTACCCACTTTGGGCTTTTGGTAGTTTAGTTGAAGAAGATAGGTGAACACACAGCCTTCATTTACTATCTGTTCGATTGCAGGCAAAGCATTCATACCATCTGTGTCTTATTTTCCTTATTTATTAAAAGGGAGATGTTTTTCTCTAGGTTCTCTGTCCTGCAACCCTTAGGAGCTTTCATTCTGGAACATTTGTGCACCTGTATATGAAAACAGACAAGAAATATAGTGATTCCTACCACTGGAGAGGGCAGGTTCACTTTCTGTCCAGTATGGCAAATATACCATCTTCTTCCTAGATATAGGTTGAAAGATTGCAGGTTGTCATAGTAAAAGACTGGAGTTTCTGAAGCTTGGGTTTCTCAGCTGTAAGGTTGATATTATGCCATTGACATTGTCTCTGTGGAGTGTAGGGAAGCAAAGAAAACTGACAGGAACTTGAGGCTCATGATGCCAAGTGTGCCATGGGAAATAGCACCCATGCTCCTGACACAGGAGCCTAGTGTCCTCTGGCAGCAACTGTGTGTGTCGAGCTGACTTGTTCTTTAGCAAGCAGTGAAAAATTCCAGACCTGTCACAGTTCTTGATGATATTGCCATAATATTGTTCTAAGAACTGGGTGGGAGAATGGCATTGCACTTGTTAATTTATCTGGAACTCTCCCTCCCCCTGTATACATCCTATTTATTTACCTGTTAATTATTTATTCACCTTCTCTGCTTTCTTCTCCATCTATCACCTTACAAGTGAGATTCATTTGCACTTTCCTTTTAAACAGTAGCTTCCTTGTACACTAGTCAGGTTCCTGCCAGAGAAGCAGAAGCAGTAGGACATGTGAATGGAGAGATATATTGAGGATTGTATTATATAATTGTAGAGACTGGCCAGACAAATTGGAAACAAATTGAGTGGCCATTGGGAAGGGCAGGCTGGGGTTCATGGGCAGAAGGCTGATGATGTAGTTCAGAGTTTCTTCTTCCACAGGGGAGCTACAGCTCCACTCTATGGCTTCCCCACTGATAGATGCATTCACCAACGCTGTCTAGGATAATCTAGATAAAGTCAACTGCCAGTGGAGTTCAGTCACATCTACAGTTATCATTCCAGTAACTCCAAGGTTAGCACTCCACTAAATATTAGGGATCTACAGCTTTGAGAAGTTGATATATCAAAGGACTAGACACTTCAATGTGCCCTATTTATTGCCACTGACTTATTTCTGTTATTGTATCTATCAGACTGTCATTAATTATTTTACTTATTATTCTCCTTTGATAACCTGGAAACTTTCCTAGGACAGAGAGTTTTGACTGTTCATTGTTAGATTCAATACATCTACAATAGTGCATGACTTGTAGCTGTATAAAATGAATTACTGAAGTGATTAGAAGACAGCCTGATATGTGAGAATGAATTAAATTTTAGCTCTTGGTATAATACATATGCATATAATGTCAATGGAAAAAATTTCACTTAGGGATATCTTCACTCTCCCTCACACCGGACACCTTTTCAAAGGTACCATCTACCTCCAGCAGATATCCAGTTTTGCTAGTAGGTCTCCATGGGGCTACCACTCCTCTAACACAGTCCCCAGCCTTACCTGTGGACATCTTAATTCATCAGGTGTTTACACTGGATTGAATTTTTATTTTAAAGCCTGTGAAAGCTTCAGGCTATTTTCCTGTATGCTTTTTTCATGTATTACTCTCCCAACTCTGAGTGTTCTTCCTGTGTCTGTGCTCATTGGCTTCTCTGTATTCTTTTTACACTCAGTTCAGGGGTTGATTCCTTTTCAGGGTCCTTTCTCTAAGACTGGCCACCTTTTTGTGCCTGCATAGTGTTCTGTCTGCTCTATTCTAAAGCTTAACAGACTTTTCCATTAAGATGATCTATTCCATCTGTACTGTGATGAAACCCTCGAGGACAAGATGATACCATTCATCTCTGCATCTCAAGAGTGTAGGTGGTTCTGATTCAGACACGTGCTTAGTAAATTTTAGCCCAAACCGTACCATTTGGTGATCACTCCCAAGTGATCCAGGATTAACTGCTTAGCTCAGCACCAGTGAAAGGCAGCATCTCTCAGCTCTCATCCTGCAGTAGTGTCTAGGGAATAGTTTGAAAGCTATTACAGAAACTCTGACTCAGTTTGTCTGACATAAGGCTTGAAAGTTGGCATACTTTTGAAGAGGTTCTCCAGTTAATCTTGATGTGCAGTCAGGACTGAGCGACATAACTTCCAGAACTCTGAACTACTGTGATGGTTAAGAGGGATTGACAACAGAATTTAGAACCCCCAAGAAACAGGCTTGGACATATCTGTGAGGGACTATATAGACTAGGTTAACTAATAGAGAAGACCCTAAATGTGGTTGGCACCATCCTTTGGGCTGGGGTCCTGGTTAATGGAGTGGCAGCTTCAATCACCTTCTGCTTCTTGAGTGCAGATGCAATCCGATCAGCAGCCCCGTGTTCCCGCTGCCATGACTTCCTCATTATTTCCATAGAACTATAAACTGAAACAATTTCTCTTTCCATTAAGCTGCTTCTGTCAGATATTTTGTCTCAACAATAAGTAGAGTAACTAATAAACTACCCCCAGGGGAGCAACATTCTTGAGAGCAGCCCTTCTAGGATGCTTGAGCAAGTGAGAGGGTTTATTAAGGTTTTATTTATTAATCTTGTTTATTTGTTTTTATTAAAAGCAACTTATTCGAAGAATATTCCAACTATTTAAAATAATAATTCAATTTTATTCTTTGAGAATTTCATACATGTGTGCAATTTATTTTGATTACATTAATACCTGATTTCCCTTTCGCCATTCTCTGGATCCCCCTCCCAACACATGTCTCTCTCAAGTTCATGTCCTTTGCTGCTGCTGCTTCTTCTCCTTCTTCTTCTTCTTCTTCTTCTTCTTCTTCTTCTTCTTCTTCTTCTTCTTCTTCTTCTTC